ACATTGATGGAGTCTGGTTTGATCGGTGCTATGCTAAGCTAACATTGTAGCCGCTCCATCAACACTCAACATAACGTCATGTAGGCATTGTTTTTATTGTTTGTACCATCGTCTATGGCAGTGATTCTTAACCATTGGGCCGCGGCCTGCATAGGTTATCAATTGAAGACACCAGAGATATTACTGTTATCCATGAGACGCTCAGTTACAATATAGCTTCCCACCACCTGGTGGCGGTAATGCGTCAGTCAGTTGTTTAACAAGCTCCAATAAGCAGAATAAGACACTTGGCTAGCTGCTAGCCTGTAGCGAAAGTTATGGATACGTTTTTAAAAAGAAAAAATGAAGACGACAGTGGTGCCATACCCCCCCCCCCCCCAAAAAAAAAAGTCTAAATGTGTGCGCAAGTACAATCCTGACTTTCTTAAGTACGGCTTTGTGAACGGAGGCAGCAAGGCAGAGCCGAGGGCACAGTGTGTGGAATGTGGGCTAATGCTATCAAATGAAGCACTGAAGCCTTCAAAAATAAAGCGACACCTAGCGACGAAACATCCAACGCTCGTGGGAAAGCCTGTTGGGCTTCTTGTTGTGTATGCAGGTTTACATACACATGATAAATAAATGTCTTTGTGATCATCACATTGTATCATCTCATTTATTTGACAAGGGTTTTGCCTGTTCAACTCCGCGAGGACACCGGCGTCCTCGATCCCCTCCCCTTCCGTTCCTACGGCTTGCTTGCGCAAACTACGTCACAAAACATGGCCGTGTTTGGTATCCCAGCATGTCCAAAACCCTCATCTTTGCAAAGAAATCATCGATTTTCTTTAATTTCTTATGGATGTTTCACAAAAGGAGCCCAAACACACACTGTCCAAAGTCGCCATAACCGCTGCAAGTCGGATCTTGCAGCATTTCGACTGAAAAAGACACATTACATACCCGACAATGTGCTAGCGGATGTTACCATGGAGCTAGTGGCTTCAGAAAACGCTAGTCCTTATAGTACAAACCTTATCTTCCTCTTCTATAAGCCGTCAACCAACGTATAACCTTGCGTATCTGAGCTACCCGCATACTCGATCGTGTGCTCGGTCGCAGCCATTAAGCACACCAATTCTGCTACTCACACACCACGTCTTCGACCATATATACATAGTTTTTGCAATTTGCAAAGGCTAAAAATAAAAGGAAAATAATATAATATCAAAATATAAAGGGAGAAACACCTTTAGTGTGTCAGAATATCATTTGGTTACCATGTGTCCATTTGGGTCTCCAAATGTCCTTTTAGAGCTCCGCCTGGATCTCTTCATGGAAGAAACACTGTAGAATCGTCATACTTTGTCCAATCTTCTTCAAATTTGAGGCAGTTGTTCACTGATAGTGTAGTTACAGCCCTATACTGTAATTTACCTGTACAGATACAGCCACGGGCAGTTATTTATACTGAAAGATACTTTTTTATTTTATGTGGACAAAAATCTTCAATTTGTACTGACTCCAAAGGCCCACTGCTCTGTTTCTGTATGACCTACAGGTTTTCTGACACTTTCGATGCATATAGTCAGAGTGGTTCAGAAGCTACAGCTATTTTCATTTGGGTATGTCATTTTAGGCAGTTTTGCTCCAAAATAGGGGTGGAGTTGAACAGGTAACAATATAGTTGAATACAAATCAAACCAAGAGTGACATCAATTAGTTAAACTAATAGTGTTAATATTTGAATGGGCCCCGGGACACTTTGTACTTGAAAAGTTGGGCCCCGAGGTCAAAAAGGTTAAGAACCCCTGGTCTATGGTATGTACACATGATTTATGTATGTGTGTGTGTGTGTGTGTGTGTGTGTGTTCAGGGCGTGACCATCCCCAGTCAGCGGCGTTACGTCATCTACTACAGCTTCCTGCTGAGGAACCAGCTGCTCTACAAACCCGTCGCTCTGCTCTTCCACAAGATGCTGTTTGAAACCATCCCCATGTTCACCGGAGGCACCTGCAGTAAGAGTGAGAGAGTGTGTGTTTGTGCATTTTTGGTGTGTGTGTACGTGACTCGCTGAGTCATGAACTAACGTGTGTGTGTGTGTGTTACAGACCCTCAGTTCGTGGTCTACCAACTGAAGGTGAAGATCCACACCTCTAACCCCGCCCACACGAGGAGGGATGATAAGCTGATGGTGTTTGAGTTCCCACAGCCACTTCCTGTCTGTGGAGACATCAAGGTGGAGTTCTTCCACAAGCAGAACAAGATGATGAAGAAGGTGAGGAGTCTTCTTCAGTCACTGAGAAAGATCACGTTCAATAATCAGGTTTCATTGATTAGATAATCAGGTAGACGGACCACGAGCTGGACACGTTGATCACTTTAGATTCTGTCCCTCCAGGAGAAGATGTTCCACTTCTGGGTCAACACCTTCTTCATCCCGGGACCGGAGGAGGATCTGGACAAACTAGAGAACGGCAGCGCCGGGACGCCTCTGGACCCAACCGACAGGACGCACCAGAACCCGGGGGTGATGATGATGGTGACGGGAGGAGAACCTAACGACAGAGACTTCCTGGTTCTCACTCTGACCAAGACCGACCTGGACAAGGCCAACAAAGACAAGGCAAACAGGAACTTCTCCCCCAACTTCAAGGTAAGACGTTCTGGACCAGGTTATTCCTACAGACCAGACTAAGGCCTGGTGGACCAGGTTCTTCTTACTGACCAGACTAAGGCCTGGTGGACCAGGTTCTTCCTACAGACCCGACTAAGGCCTGGTGGACCAGGTTCTTCCTACAGACCAGACTAAGGCCTGGTGGACCAGGTTCTTCCTACAGACCAGACTAAGGCCTGGTGGACCAGGTTCTTCCTACAGACCAGACTAACTGTGATTTCTGTGAGTTCTTTATTCATAACATCTAACAGCCTAATAACCTCCGTGGACGTTGTTCTTGTGGTTCAGATAAAACTGTATTTTACGAAGACGGTGGAGGAAGGAGCGAACTCTGACGCCAGCAGCACGTCGGCCTCGGTGACGCCGGACGTCAGCGACAACGAGCCGGATCACTACCGCTACTCTGACACCACGGACTCCGACCCGGAGAACGAGCCGTTCGAAGACGATCGCCACAATCAGATCACAAAAGTCTGACACACACACATTCTCACGCATACAGGTACATATATATATATATATATATATATACATACATACATATATATATATATATACCTGTATGTTTACACACTCATGAACCCCTAAACTAAGACTGGGTTACGTTAGCTAACGGGGGAATATAGCTAACGGGGGAATATAACCAACGGACCAAGACTGATCTGTGGGTCTCAAAGAGCTCAGGTCAGTGTATAAGACCCCCCACCCCCCCCTCCAATCTTCTGCTCAATGCACAGCTGGACAATCACATGACACGACGGTTGGAGGTGAGTAGGCGGGGCTAGACGTGTGGGCGGGGCGATGTTGTCCAAACGGACAGCGAATAGTCGATGAGACGGACTGAATGGACGGACAGGAGATTTAAAAAGAAATGAGAGTAAAACTTGAATATAAACAAAGTGAAAGACAAGTAGAGGTCAGTCTGTCGAATGAATCCCCGTGTGTCCTTCCTTCCTCACCAAACGTTATGCAGACGAGTTCCTTTCTTCATCTCTTCAACCTTCAGTTGAGTCTCTTCTCTCTGTGCAGCAGCGTCCTTTTTGTCTTTGAAGGCCAAATTAAATCTGCATTTGTTTCTCGGTATAAATCTGCAGCGTTTCCTTCTTGTAAAGTTCAACTGGCACTGAAACTGAATCTGGACCATTGAGGGGCATTAGAGTTGTTTTAATGGATGATCCGATGATTAGATCTGATCACGGTGCCGCTTGAGAGACTGACGGTGGTAAAACAGAACCCTGGTTTTCAAAAACCCTCCTGACTATGAAACGTTCTGATCCGCTTTGGACCAGTCAGTCTGAGGTGGAGTGGACCAGTTTGATTCTGGTCTGAAGCCAGTGCAAACCAGTCTGGGTTTGGACAAGTCTAACTCTGGATTCAAACTGAATTGTTTTGTGATCTTGACAATAGAAACCACCAGAGAACTTACTTTGTCCTATCGTGGACCGGACCAGTCTCAGTGCTGGTCTGGACCGGCTTTGGGACGAATCCGCACACAAAGAAGAGACGATAACGAAGAGACAACTTCACAATCGGCTGCAGTTCTTTCAATCATCTACTGTTGAAAACAAACCTACAGTACAAACCTACTGTGAACAAAATGCTTTTACTACTTTTCTGTCCGTCTGTCTTCAGTTTTGCTCAGAATGTTTCTCTTCAGACCTTCGATCAGCTCCTCCAGATCCAAAAGATGTATTTAGTTAAACTCTGACTTATATCAAACAGTAAGCTAAACAAACAAGATGCTCACAGTGTAACCATTCCTTCAGCCCGTTCCGCTTTCAAGCTCTAACACACCCCGACACAAACTAAAGCAGAAATCTACAGCTCCAGAGCGCTTGGTTTTCACATCCCTGGCATGCCATGCGGGTGGGGTTTGCACTTTATAACGGACTGAATATCGACGTGTATTTCCATCCAAGAAAAGCCTGTTCGTCTCATGTTGTGCTGATTTCTGTCAAGTTTAAAGTCCTTTTATAAAGCTGCCGTTTTAAAGCTTGAGCTCAGAGTTTCTCAACCTTGGGTTCCGGACCCAACGTGAGTCTGCGGTTCTGAGAATATCTATGGATAAAAATTAATTTGCTTGATAGGTGTTTTTTTCTTTTTAAAGTGCTCTTGAAGACGCGTTTCTTTGGATCACCGGTCGGCCGATGTGGAGAAACCCTGTTGTACCGAGGTGAAGTTTGTTTGAGCATGTCGCTGACCAATCAGCTTCCAGCAGGAAGTGACCTCGGTCGGTCACAAGGTGCAGCCTTCTCTTTGGTTTCTGACATTTCAAAAAGGGTGATCCTCTATAACTACTATAACTCTGTCCATAGACTATTAATCCTTTTACTCACTACTACTTCTTGGAGACATTTAAGCATTCGAGTTCTTACAAACCACCTTAACACCAGGGATGACAGTTTGAGGATCGCGTTAGCATCACAGCAGGTTGAGACTATTCAGTCTGGATTTTACAGAAGGAAATGAACGTATGGGATGCTCGGATTCATCTCTTTAGGCCGTAGACCCAATTAGAGCATTCATCGTTGGAGGAAACCAAAACTAATGACCAGTTGGTTGCTGTTCTTTGGGCTCTGACTGAATGTTGAGGATTTAAAACCCTTTTTTACGAAAGGTCAACAGAAAAACTACCTAGATTGGACTTAAGATGACAGCTGTTTGATGGTTTAAAGGCTTCTTTGTGCTCCAATCAAGTTTTCTAATCAGATCTAGAGATCACCTATGTGATTGATCGGAGCATCCCCAATGATCTAAAGGAACAAATATGGGTAGAAGTGTTCATCCTGATGTCTGATTTCCGTCCTAAAATTTGGATCTACTTCCTTTCACTGGCTCTGCGTTGGTGTTGTAGTTATTGATGGTACATCATAGGTGTGGTATCAAGACTGGTTTGGGGCTTAGAGTTCCTGTTGTCGAACCCTGAAGGCCTCATCGAGAGCCTGATCACACAGGACGTACTTGAAAACATGAAATCCTCAGCACCGCTTTTACTAATCTTTAAGGGCAGCCAGCCACATCGTTACCAGACCCTCTAGAAGATTCTTAGATAGAAGGCATCTTAAATCCCATCTTGACATCAGAACCCAAACTCAAAGAGTCTACGGCACACGGAAGGACACCAAAAGGACAAATGACAATAATGTCAAGCATGTTTGGTTAAGATCACACTATCCCAGTTGTGTCAAAGAAAGGGGGGTGAAGAGGCTCCTCTGGGACTAAACTGGACGAGTCCCAGAGGGCTCTTGTCCATTATTAGTCTCGACCCTCCAACCATTTACTGAGCTTCTCTTAGTGAAGATGAAACACGCTGAACAGGCAAAACTGTTATTCCAGTGTCCTTAAAGAAGTGTCGAAGGGCATTTTCCTGCCCTGGAACCCTTCCCTTTGTCCCACTGTGGTGTACCGACTGGTTAAACAAAGCCTCATCGATTAATCACCATGCCAATCAGAGATCTTAGAATGGGAATCGTCAATCCGGATCCACAACAACAAAAAGAACTTTTAGTTGTAAGTCGACTTCCTTTCTGTGCCGAAGGACAGACTCTCTGATCCTCAGGGTGTAAACACCTGGATCCCAAAAGTAGGACTCAGAGCTCCTCAAAGTCCCTGAAGGAACCGTTTGTAAAAGGTGCTGATGAAATAACGTCCTGTGTGATCACGTCTTGAGGGGCAGCTCTCAGGCTTTTGCACACCGTCAGGTCTATAGTTCATCTTGTTGGGTTTTAGGTGCTAAGCTAACCAGGGCTGCTCGCTAACCAGCCGCGGGGGTTTCGTCAGGTCCTGATCTGGGACATCAGCGCGCCGATCGATCCACAGGCTCAGTTCGTGTATTTTACAGCAACAACACACTTCCTGTCTTGTCAGGTGCTGTCAAGCCCGGCCTCACTTCCTGTCATCAACCCGTTCAGACATGCGTTGAGTCACAACGTTTT